ACGAGAAGGTCGTGGTCTGTGATGTCGAGCGCCACGATTGGATCAGGTAGAGCTAAAGACGGTCCTCGTTTTGTTATGTGTGTTTTACAGATCCCTTTCCTTTATGTTGATCTCCGCACTGCTCTTGCAAGTTTTCTTTTTCATCTTGCCGGACAGGCTTGCGTTGCCAAATTTATTGCAACGAATGTGTAAGAACTGCAACACACATTAGCGAAAGGCCATAACAAGTTACGGCGCCAGCCGCAGTCAGTGGGTTCTTGTCTTGCGTCGACGTCGTGCGCACGGCAGGATCAAATCTTTGTCCTAGGAGGAACAAGGAGCACAGAACGTAGTATGTTGGTCGACGTTTTTCTTTGCCTGGAAGTGGTAGCCTAGTGGGTGAACCGTTTTTCAGGCCTGGAACTGCACAAGCACAACGCGAGTTGTAGTGCACTCTGATAAGTACTTACTTATCATCAACTCCTTGTCCGGAGGACCATAATATACAACGAGTGCACCATGATACTATGCAGATACACTTCTCTGCTTCTGCATGCTATAATTCCAAAGCTGGATATATAAATTCTTAGTCTCAGCAAGCTAAACTTCGTTTTTCTTGCAAGGAAAAATCCCCTCTCCCCATGTTGAAAACGCTCCCTCCTGAAAATTTGCGATGCACATTTGTGGCCACAAATCCGCTCTGTCTTACAAGAAGGCAAACTCAGGCTGTCCGCCGCGTTATGTAGGCGATTTGTAATGCCATAAGGCCTACAGGGCAGACGTCTGCCATGCTAGGCGCTTACAGCAGGAGGCCCCTGCCTAGGCTTGCGATCTGCGTGCAGTGCTCTATTGCAAGACAAATTTGTTTTGTGTACAGAAATTCCGCATCACAGATTTCCGTTTTGATATGGGGAGGGGGGATTTTTCATTTTGATAGTTTTCCATAAAGAAATCCGCCACGACGGCTGCGTACCCGGGACTCAAGTGAGCGATGGGTGCGCCGATGTTTCTCTCCAAGCTCTATCCTGTATAAAAATCGAAGTTGTACCCGGGCCCCTAGTACTTACTTTCAACTACTTACAACCCGCAGGCAAAATGGGAGGTCTGCGTCTGGTACACAAATCTTCAAGCGGCTAGTACAACTTATTACACATAGGAACTTTACAATAAGCATGACAAACAAGAATAACAACGTGGAGCTACCAACTCTGCAGCTAGACAAATCCGCAAAGGGTAGTTCTCTTGGCAGCATCTTCAGTAAAAAGCCACTTGCTCACGATTCTGTCACTTGGACCATGTTGACATATTGCCAAAATTAATATTGACTCGTCGAATACTATGTATCCCTCTCTTTTTGGAGAAGAGCCGAGCGTTGAGACACAGCACCTATCGATCCACATCCTGGATCGATGAAAAGTTGCATAAAAGATCTGGTAAGTAGGTGGGTATGTCTATCGATTTCTACACAGGATAATCGCCGGTCGATCGCGAAAGGCTCCAAGTGAATTCTTTCCGGTATGGCGTTCTCAAACGCTACATTCTCAACTGTTACATGGACTTGTAATGCAAGAACAGCAAAAGTGAAAGTGGCAACCTTGCAGCTTTCGCATCACAGATTTGCCACAGATTATCATGCTGTTTAGCCTTTCGACAATTTGTCATGCTAAGCACCTTGATTAAGTGGAGGCTGATGGCAATTTTGCATGACAAATTCATGTAACAGTTGAGAATGTGACAGTTGAGAACGCCATATCCGGCGTGAAGGTGCTTTTCCGTAAAACTCGCTTGAATTCCTCCTCCGGCGCGCCAAAAGTGCTGGATCGCGGGTGCTGCAGAAGTGGTTCGACTTCCTCACTAACAGAATTGTCGTGCTTCAACATCTCGTTCTCCTGTGGATCAGAAGTAGTGCTCCCTATCATGATGCTCTCGGCGACTGCTTGCGATTTTTGTTCGTCTTCCTTCTTCGTTTCCTCGGTGGCAGCAGCACGAAGATACACTTGACTTTCATCTTGCGATTCGACAGACACGGAGTGGCCCACAATCTCATATCAAATGCAAAAATGTCTGGGTCTGGAAGAATGGAACTTGTGATGCTACTTTTGGAATCTACATAAAATCTGTATTGCATGTGTAACAGTTGAAACGGAGCCGCCGGAAAGTCCGGGACCCTCCGTACAAACCGGCACCTGCATAAAATTTATGCTATTGGAAAACAGCGACTTTGTGCATTTTTTATACAAATGTAGGTTTTGCGGGGGTGCCCATTCACACCGTACTGGGTTACCGATTACACAGCACGGGCCCGGACGAATCAGGTCAGCCCGTTTGAAACAGGTCAGCCCGTTTCGCCCAGGGCCCAAAACAACGCAAAATCAGCTCGGCAGCCGGGTGCGCTTCGCGCTGCCACGGCGCCCGTCAAATTAAAAGACCGCGCAAGCAGCTCGGCTACGCGCCGCAGCTTCAGCCTCGTTCGCGACAAGCGGCATATAACTCGTTCAGCTAGCCCACAACAACATGTGGCCGCGAGTCCGCTCGCGCACGCTATCAATTCGTTTGAGTTGCGCTGAACGTCCGTCGGTTCGTCCAGCGAACCACTGTCAAAGCGCCGCTGCGGCGCCAACCGTGCAACTTCCAACAGAAACATGATAAAGCCGGCCCTGCTTCGTTCCGCATAGTCGCTACTGCATCATCGCGCGCGCGCGCGCTATGTCGCCAGCTCGTCGCCCGCCTATCGTCTCCCGTGTCGTGTCGGCCGACAGGGCGCGGGCGCGGCTGCGGCACATGACAGGCGCGGGCTCTCGTCGCTCGGTCTGCACGCCTCCGTCGCCGCACCTTCTCTACTTTTTTCGGTACGGAGGTACCGATTTTCACACCGGCTTTTTGTATGTTTCCTACATTTCCCAGTGTGTTTTTTATCGAAATCATACTTTTCTTCCATACATATTCCGCTTGGAGGTGCCCGATTGTCCAGGGGTACCGGTTTGATCAGTTTTACATGAACAGCAAAAGAGGTGTAATTTGTGCTACGCGGAGAGAGCATTTCTAATGCGGTATGAGCATCAGAAAGCCCTCGCAAAATCTCTGATGCTAGGGCATGCATCACAGACCTCATCGGTCATGCAAAATCTGCATGGCAAATTCCTGCATTCTTCCAGACCCAGACATTTTTGCAATCCATATCTCATCTTGCGATTCGACAGACACGGAGTGGCCGTCAACATGCGCTTCGTGCTCGTTTTCGGTGGCAGCAGCACGAAGATTTATGCTGTGCAAAAGTATCGTACTCGTATACTTAAATGCGGGTCTTGCATTACAAATTTCTTTGTCAATCCAAATCAGCATTACAAATTTTATTTCTCACGCTGAGAAAATTTGCAATGTGAATCGGTTCGAGAGTGTACCCCAGTTCACGAACTAGTTCGTGAAGGTTCCGGGCATACGAAAAAGAAGAGAACCATACGTAGTGCACGTGCCAAACCCCGAAAAAAAGAGCGGGCAACGGGAGAAAAGAATCCCGATGAGCTACAGAGCATACCTTGCGGGCACCATATGTCGCAAAAAGTATGTGCACGCAACAAGCCCCAAAAGGTCCTGTATTTTGGCGCGCGCGCGCGCGATTTTGGTTTGTGAGGCGCGAAGCGCTGCGCGACTATTGTTTACGGTGGCACGGCTGCCGGCCGTAGGATTTAGGGACGCTGCTTCCGATCAATGGGCGCACGAAGACCGAAGCTGTGCGCGCGGCGCTGGTTTCAAACAGAAAGCGGTCGAACACTAG